TCAGGACCTAGGGCCGCGCTCTCCCCGCGAGCGACTGGGAAGCCGCGAGGGTCTCACTGCCAGTCTCCGGGGGTGGGAGCGCGTGCACCGTCCGCCAAAAAGTAGGACCGTGGAGCCGTTCGCGGTCCCAGCGCAGGCGCGGTCTGTGGCTGTCACCAGTGAGCGCACCGCCTGGAGGGGTAGCCAGACCAAAACAAAACGGCAGAAACACCCTGCCCGCCTCGGCGGGTGCAGCTGCAGTCCACGCGGGCCGGGGCAGTGTAGAACGCGCTGCCTTCCCCGGGTCCGATGCCGCCTCGGTCACCCTCAAGCCCCCCTGAGTCCTGACAGCAAGTCTGTAGGGCATCCTGCAGGAATTGTGCGGTTCTGGGTGCTTTTGCCCAAAGACATCCTTTGGGATGAATTCAGAGCCACATCTCACGTCCCACGAGTCTGGAAGAAGAACCATGTAAAAGGAATTCGACAAAAGCTTTCCACATCTCTGTTTATTCTTTTGAATCCATAAAACGACCTTAAAAAAAGCATTCGGGCCACCTAAGAGAAAATGCACTTCTGGCCAGAGCATGCAGGATTCTTTTGCCCAACAGGGGAAAGGAAGCAGAGCGGGCACAGCGGAAATGGCCCTGGTGCCCTATGAGGAGACCGCGGGAATGGGGTTGCAGAAATTCCACAAGCCTCTCGCCACCTTCTCCTTCGCCAACCACACCATCCAGATCCGCCAGGATTGGAGGCAACTGGGGGTCGCAGCCGTGGTTTGGGACGCGGTAAGCATATCCTGGGGGGTCGGGGGGAATCTGAAAACATCTGCAATTGATTATAAGACTGGTCTGTACTTAAAAAGAAATGAAAGAACAGCTTTGTTGAGATATAATTCATATACTGTACATGTCACCTACAGTGTATAATGAACTGGTTTTTTAAAGTAAATTCAGAGTGGTGCAACCATCACCATGCTCAATTTTTAAATATTTTCATGACCCCATTCGCTCCAAAAATACTTCTACCCACTAGAATCACTTTCCAGATCATCTTCCCCCAAATAGATTGCATTTTAAGGGCGAGTAAAGGAACGTTAAGTTAAAATACTGCACAAAATGACAAAGCCCAAAGTGAAGATCATGTGTTTTTTTTTAAATATTTTTTTATTGATTTCAGAGAGGAAGGGAGAGGGAGAGATAGAAACATCAATAATGAGAATCACTGATCGGCTGTCTCCTGCACGCCCCCTACTGGGGATGGAGCCCACAACCCAGGCATGTGCCCCTACCAGAATGGAACCCCGGACCCTTCAGTCCTCAGGCCCATGCTCTCCTCCACTGAGCCACACTGGCCAGGGCCAGGTGTTTTCTTTAAGTTCTGGGTGGTTGTAATGGTCCCCAAATTATACTATAATTGCCTTTTACTTCTTCCTCTCCGAGCACTGTCCTCAGCTGCATGTGACAGCGACTTGCCCCCAGCATCTAGCACCACACCTGGGACTAGGTGGCAGCTCATTTGATGTTGGATAATTGCGTGATGTAGATACAATTTTACAGGTTTTGCATTGTATTAAGGAAGTGAGAGACATATTTAGAAATAAAAATCAATATGTTCTAACCGAGTAATACTTTAAGGAACCTAGTCTAAGGCAACTACATGAGTATTCCTAGACCAAGTAGTAAAAATAGACAGTAGTGAGGAATGGGTGAGCCTCCTAAGTGCTCACTAGACCAATAGTAAGTGGCCATGAAAACAAACGATTTTAAAACCATGTTAACAGTGTTCGGTGCTTCTGTAGAATTGTATGCAAATGCTAACTCACAGGCCAAGTATCCAAAGTGTGTCTAAAACTCACCTTTTGATGCCCAGTAATGCATGGCGAGGGCTCCTGCCGGGAGATGACCAGAGGGAGGCATGCAGCTCTGGGAGCCTGGGTGCTGCATGCGTTTTCCTTCTGGGAGACGTTGTGGCCTTGCCGACTTGAACCTGGTTTAGAAACTGGACGTTCCCTTAAGCAGAATCCCAGAGACAGTTCATGCCAGAGAGTCCTGGAAGCCTCGAGTGTAGGCAGTGGCATAAGAAT